ACTCAAGTTCAGCACCGGGAAGGACAGCAAAGACTTGATTGACTATGTTGTCTCGAACCACTGCTGGACCGATACTGACATCGACAAAGGGTTCATCCAAGGGATTACTGCTTGCTGTGTGGCCGATTCGTCTTCGCGCCCCCCGGCGATCCCTCGCAGATATGTCACCGCTTTGAAGGGCCTCCGCGACGACGAGACCATCGTCATCACCCAGGCTGACAAAGGTGGGGGAATTGTTGTTATGGACAAGACTGATTATATACACAAAATGAACAATTTACTTTCCGATACTTCTGTTTACAGGAAAGTAACGAAGGGGGATGGGATGATGGAAGCTGCCAGATTCAAGAAGAAGGCGAGGGATTTACTCCTGCGGTCGGCTAGGGGGAAAGGCTTGCTTCACCTGCTGGAGGAGGCCCCCCGCAACCCGTCCATGAGAGGTCTACCGAAGGTGCACAAGCTATGTGTACCGATGAGACCCATCACTTCTGGCATTGGCAGCGCTCCCCATCGCCTGGCGAAGTGTTTGGCGAAACCCCTCTCCGCCACCATGGGAGTCATCAGTGATTCTCACCTCAAAAACTCTGGGGACCTCATCAGACGTCTTTAGAGTTTTGTATATAAAAATAAGAAGATGGCTAGTTTTGATGTTAAACCCCTTTTAACGAATGTACCCACAGATGGAGCAATCCGGGCAGTCGAGAGGGTAATAGGTTCCATGGCAGATGACGAACTTCCACTGCCTAAGCACCACTTCATAAGCCTCGTGAAGTTGTGCGTGGACTTCGGATTCTTCGAGTTCGCAGGGGAAGAGTACCAGCAAATCAGCGGTCTTGCCATTGGCTCCCCTCTGAGCGCGGTCCTGGCCTGCCTCTTCATGGAGACATTAGAAAAGGACCACTACAAGGATATAAACGGCAGGCATTCGACGTGGCTTCGTTACGTAGATGTTGTCCTCGTCATCGTCCCCAGAAGGTCGTGTTTACACCGTATGCTGACGCGGCTGAACTCCGTCCACGAGAAAATCCAGTTCACCGTGGAGGAGGTAGTGGATCAGAAGTTACCTTTCCTGGACACTCTGATCCATCGGGATGACGACGGCCTATGTTTCTCTGTATATAGAAAGCCTATGAATAAGTAATAAATGAAGGATTGAGTAAACATAAAAGGAAGGTCATGGAAGCTGCATACATCGCGACAGAAAAGAATATGAACAACGCGTCAGGCAGGTTTAAAGTATCCAAGGTCGCAGATGCAATTATGCGCGTAATGAGTGCGGTCATAGTCGTTAGGTGATCTACCAGCTCCCATGTATATATGCTATGTATTTTCTCGTATGTATGTATTTCCGATGAAGACGTAATCGAAACCGGTCAAATACATCTCTTGTATTGTGAAGATATCCATTCTCATTCATACCTTTTCTACATTTGTCAACATGGATACGTTTCTATATATATATATATATATATATATATATATATATATATATATATATATATATATATATATATATATATATATATACATATATATATATATATATATATATATATATATATATATATATATATATATATATATATAATATAAATATGTATATATATATATATACATATTTATTTATATAATATGTGTATATATATATATATATATATATATATATATATATATATATATATATATATATATATATATATATATATATAAATATATATATATAATATATATATATATATATATATATATAAATATATATATATATATATATATATATATATATATATATATATATATATATACAACTACCGCACTGATATGATGAATGAATATCCTCTCTGATAGGGACTCGAACCCTCGATTTGCAGGCAGGTAACTCGATAGCTTCTAGTTGCACACTCCTTTTAGGGGTTCGTGTAGTTCAGAGGAAGAATGTCTGTCAGAGAGAAAGGGGGGGGGGTGAGTGATGGAAAGTATGTAATAGAGAGAGAACGTGAGAGAGAGAGAGAGGGAGAGAAAGAGAAAGTGTGTGTGAAAGAGAGAGAGAGAGAGAGAAAGAGAACGCGTGTGTGTGTGTGAGAGAGAGAGGGGGTTGGGAAGAAGGGAGGGAGGGAAGGAGAAGAGAGGTCTAGCTTACCATTCCGAGGCCGCATTTATTTTCCTTTAGCGCCGCCCACACGCCCAGAATGGACGTCAGCAGGACTAGCCCGCCTGCGCCCACGAGGCCATAGGCTAGGTGGATGAGCGTAGGCGTGTCCGCCGGTGTGGGCGCGAGGGCGAGCATCACATCCCGTCCATCCCCGGTGACGCACCAGACGCCCACAACCATCACTGCCACGCCTGTCATCTGCGAACACATGCCAATGGAGGTGAAGGAATCTGTCATGTCGGTCTCGCGTTCACTTGGCACATGAATTTGTTGTGAAATCATAATATTGAAAGGAAGAAGATTAAGATTTGTTGACTATATTACTACCCAATTAGTGGTATTCACAGGCAA